TGGATTTGGTCTACTAATTTCGCCGGCGGTTGGCGACAAAACTGCGACATCTCGCAACCAAATTGTTTGCTGGGTATATATATGTATATAATTTGTAGAAATAAATTTCAGATATATGTCACTAATTCTTTACAAATTTATACATACATAAAAAATGCGCGTACATCTAGCATCGCTCGTATAGGTTTTCTAATAGTTAGTTTGCTAAAAACATATTTCATCATGTCATTTTAATATTTAATTATTGGTAATAGGGAAATAGGTTAAATACTCAAATGTAAAAGTAATTTTATATATATTATGGATTATAAATAGTGTTCCGGTAAAAAATTTTGCATGTATAAAATTGTATGGACATATTCGGTATATAAATTTGCATAATTAGATATAAGTTTAATTTGTCTATAAGTATATATAATTATATATCAAAAATTTTTTTAAATATAGTAAAAATATAGTTTTATATATTTTTTTTGTATTTAACATGATACTAATAGAGTTATTTTGTAATTTGATATGGAATATCTCTGAAGCCATTCTCTTAAAAAAAGAAATTCTCCGTGTATAAAATTGTATGGACATATTCGGCATATAAATTTGCATAATTAGATATAATTAGTATAATTTGTGTATAAGTATATATGAAAAATTTTTTACCGGGCGTGTATCTACAATTTAGAAATAAGTCAAGATATAATTAAATGGCCTTTTAAATATTATATAGTTTGACTGAACTGCAAGTCTTGCTTGGTTTTTGCTGTTAATTTGCTATCAAGTCGTGTTGCGCAGATCTTGCTTCATTGGCGTCAATTTGGTCTCAAATTATGTGCAAGCTTTGCTCGGTTTTTGCTAGCAATTTGCTGTTATGTTTTGTTAACAAGCTTGGATATATTTTTGCTAGCAATTTTGCAACATTGCCAGATAAAACAAACTCTGCATCATATTTGATGTCTTTCTGCTAACAAAATTTGTAACAAGCATTTGGCAAAATCTATTTCGACAGATTTAGTTTAGTTATCTGGGTACACATAAAATCGGCTCTTCTTAGGACGATTATATGTCTGTTCGTTTTACCTGAACTGGCCGCTCTAGGTCAGAGTTTATCCTTCTTTTTCCAACGTAGAGTAAAGAAGATAAACTCTGACCTAGAGCGGCCAGTTCAGGTAAAACGAACAGACATTATGTAACGTTCAAATCCGATAGCAACCTCTTCACGTTGTACATCAAGTAATGCAAATGTCAACGTCTAAACTTCAGATTTTAAGAATGGCTTATGCAAAAGACACAAGTAGGTAGTGGTTTAGAAACATTTCGACAAAGGCTACAAGAATGTGTCATAAAAAACTGAGTGTTCCATTTAAGAATCGATCACATTGACCTCGACGCCTTGAAAAGGTTACTCAACATCAAGTCTATATTTTAATTGTCTATTCTTTGTAATATCTTATAGTAATTTTTGTATAAAAACGTTTTTCCATATCTAAAGCCGTTTCCGAGATCCAGGTCAGACTTTAAAGACACCATATATGTGTGTGTGTGTGTGTGTACGCGCGCGCGCGTGTATATTCACCCCGCACATTTATATATTTCACATTTGTTGATAATTTTTTCTCGTAGTTCTTGATCTTTTCTGGAAAGTCATGTTTCATCCATTTACACGTTCACTGGACGAGTAAGGATAAGGTCTAATCGCGCGATATATAAAACATAAATCTTGCGTGCATATGGTGTTTACAAATATCTAGAGCATATCGTGTTGCGCACAAATGCATTACTAAAAGTAAAGATGAAATAGAAAATCAAGATACTTTATGCGAAATTGCACTATTTCGAAATTATTAAAGAAATCAATTTTATTTTTAAAAAAATCGCATAAGGGCTAATTGTCGTTGCCGAAAATGTTTTTCTTAAGATCATATATTTAAAATGTCCACGGTCACTGAACTTCTTTGCTAGAAAACTTTTTAACTTGTTATATTTGTTTTCTTACCTGAGACTTACCTGCAGTTGAAAAACAAGTGACAAAAACAGAAACACTAAACTAAATGTTATCTCAATCATGTCAAGAAAAGGATTTTTACACATATAAAGAGATGAATGCTTACATTAGAAATATGAATTAATAATTTGTGTATGTATGTTTTACGTTAATATCGTATATATATAACTGTACGTTTCTTCACTGTAGGTAGTCATAACATTGAAAAGTATGTTATACATTGTAGAATCGTGTTGATTATTACATAGTTTTATTAGTCATGGCCCACAGCTGCCGAGTATATTACATTAGAACATGATGACATAAATATATTGACCAGTTATAAGTAGATTTCGCATATGAAAAAGACATCGTTACCAGGCAATATCAACTTTATAAGACTGCTATTTAAACAATGTTATAAATATAGTAATTATAGTTTTCGCAAGTTAATGCGCTTTTTTTTTCACAAACTTGTATTTAATTCGCATTCGATTCATATTATTCAATTCATATTGATTCTTCGAAAAACTTTTTTATTCTTGATATATTTGTAAATACCTTTTTTAAAGCTTTCAAATTCGTACCTGCAGCCACATTAGATTAGAAAATTATTCCAATCTTTTTTTCTTAAGTAAATATCGAAAATAAGAATTTCTTTCATACACAATTTAAGGCTTTTGTTAAGGTTCCTCGATATTTTTACAGCTATCTTGGATATTTGATGCTTTCGCGGTGTGTTCTATTAACATTCGAAGATGTTTTTCGGGTTTGAACCGCGTTAGTGTCATTTTTGTACCGACGTTTTGTGAACATTTCAGCTCACTTCATCAAGGTTTCAAGAGCAGTCTGATGATCTACGTCGGTACAAAAATGACACTAACGCAGTTCAAATCCGAAAAACATCCTCGAAAGCTATCTTAGACTTTAAAACAAAGAAACAAATTACTGCAATTTATATCTAAAATATGATCTCGAGAAAATAAAAGAATATTTCCGCACAAACTCATTCTTAATCAATAGAGCACATTTATAAAATATTGACTGGTCATCATTTGGATCAACAGCAAACCATATCAGCAAAATTGACTCGAAATTGAAATCAAAGAGTTTGCAGTGTATGACATCATGATATAACATACATCAAAATTCAAGATGGCTGCGAATCGGAGGATTCTTCAATGTTTTTTTTTAGAATAGACAAATTATAAATACAATTAATTTCCTTTAGCAAGTTTGATATCTAATAATATATGGCTGCAGTCGTAAATCAATGTCCTTAAAACTATATATCGTAATATGTATACACTTCAGCTAGAGTTCGATTAATTCATTGAATGTTTTTTACGATTGAAAATATTATTCAAAACTTTTCTGATCATAAAATATAGTGCATCAGATATTTACTGTTCTAAAAGAAATTAATAAGAATTATTAAAAGTATTACATCTCTTAATTATAATATACAGTTATTTATATA